AACAACAAAATAAATAAAATTTAGAAGACAAAAAAAACTCAGTGAAGGGACACTTGAGATTCATGTATTTCATTGGATGTAAACTTTACACCAAAAGAAAAAACTGTAAAAAAAAAAAAATTTGAACTCTAGTTAATGATACACTGAAGTGTTTAGGGAAGTACACCAATGTCTGCAATTTACTTTGAAATGCATCAAAAAAATTCGATGGCTGGAGGGATGAGTGGAGGGATAGATAGGTATGTAATAAAGAAAATGCAATAAACTGTCATTGGTAAAATCTAGATAATCAGTATAAAAGTATTCCAAGCAACATTTTGTCAGCTTTGCTTCATGTTTGAAACTTCCCATAATAAAACGTTGGGAGGAGGGGAGAAGCTAGGGTTAAAAAAAAATCCATCAACAATAAAGCTTGAAAAATATTTAAAGTCTTAAACCACAGGCACATTTACTGAGAACACAGCGTCAGGACTGCAGCTGAGGAAGGGCCCGTCTCCCCTGAAACCCTCTCACGCTGTAATATCCACGTGTCCGAGTCATAGATTAATGCCAGCTTCAAGGTCAATGCTGAACTTCTTCTCTCCTCTCTCCTGGTTCCACCCCCACGCCTGGCCACCTCACCTCTGCCCGCTTCCCTGGGAAATTTCCTTTCTTTCTAAGTCTCTCTCTGAGGAAGGATTTTGAGAAACATGATTTCTAAAGGCTGGGCAGTTCACCCTGAATTAGTGCCACGGCCATGAATTCCACATTTGGCTGCCTGTGAGCACCCCCACCTCTGAGACCCCACTCCTGCCTGTCGGGGGAAGCATGCTGCCTCCACCAGGGCTTTGTGAAAAAAACACATCAGTGCGAGTGAGGCAGGAGACAGGCTCAGAGAGGGAGTTCTCAGTTCTGAGGCGCTGCTAATATCCATTCTTTTAAAATATTCAGGAGGCACCAGATAATACTGCTCCCTTTGCTTTGTTCCAGAAAAACTCTCCACAGAGGGTCAAAGGGGCTCTTTGCTTGCATTCAGACCAAAATCAGGAGGCAAACTTTGTTCCTAACCATCGTCACAAGCTGCACCAGAAAGCTGGGCTGGCTTTTCACGAGGATCATTCAAGGCTTTGCGTGCCAGCATCAGACAGCTACGGAGCTCAGTCTATCTTCTCTGCGTCTCTCTCTCTTTTCTCTCTGTCTCTCTCTCACACTCTTGCTTTCTCACTCCGTCTCTCTCTCACAGTTTGTTGCACCATGAGCTAGAAGTTGTCCCCCTTGGCAGTCCTCCTGCCCCCTGGTCCCCTCCCAGGTAGATAGCCAGCATAGGTGTTTCCTCTCAGGAGCCGCCTGGCACCTGCGTGGCGTAAGGGTGGGGAATGGATGGTGGCCGGGCCCAAACGAGCACCTAGCGCCCAGCCAGACATCCCGCAAGGTTGTCCATCCACACTCTCGTGAGTGTCTACAGCAGGAGGAGCCAAGTGTCCCCTCCGTGGCTCGGCCCAGAGGAGAGTGGAGGCCCTCCCCCACCCCCATCCTGGGGAAGGGGCAGCTTCACCCCACAGGGTCCCGGACCACAGGCCTACCTTCGTGGATGAGCAGGTGTGGCCGCAGGCCTCGTGCCCTCAGGATCTGGCAGGCGGCCGGGGCTGGGGCGGAGACCTCCCCCTCGGAGACACTGAAGCCCAGCCTGCGAAGCAGCCCCACCAGCTCCCGGCGGGACTTCTGAGACTCGTTGGTGCAGAGCCGCACCTTCAGCGGGGAGCGCTTCAGTCTGCAGGGAGGAAGGGCGGCATTGTCCACAGGAAGGACAGCATGGCTCCAGGCAGGGGCACGTGGAGGGCGCATGGGGGAAACGAGGTGGGGGAGAAAATGAGCCGCTGGTGTCCTAGGAGGGTCCCTGAGATGGGGGTGGCTCAGGCACTCCACCCCGTCACTGGGGTGAAGGGGATTCTGAACACAACTCTCCCAGCCAGAGAGCCAGGGGGGCTGTGGTTGGTGACGCCAGCGGCTGGGAAAGGT